CTTTGCTGTTTAGATGTTAAATACAAACTAAAAATAGTTGATCTTTGGACTTTCATGGAAAAATGGAAAATTAAACACTTGCATTCAACTGTGCCCTCCTCAAAACCCACAAATATAATATTAATATGTGTGTATGTGTATGTTCAAGTGAAGTTGAATAATTCAAGGAACAATGATAGCAAAAAGTAATAACAACAAAGTGTTGGAATGTAAAAAATGGACAAGCAACATAGACTTAGGAAACTAGAAGAATCCTGAAGAATCCTGAATCCTGAAGAAGATGACAATAATTATATTCATAGACACAATCTCCTAAAATCTTAGAGGCAGACACCAGTGGCTTCTGGAAGTGAGGTGAAGGAGTTGCCCAGTCACAGACTCTCCTTTGCCTTCTGCCCCTCCCCCTTCTCTCCACAGAGTAATCGACTGTTAGTAAAATGGGGATAACGGCAGTGCTCATGTGGTTCCTTGAGCACCACCAGGACCAACTCCGAGCACTGAGTCATAAGTATCTCCTAAACACAGCCAGCTGAGTCCCCCAAGAAAGAAAATAATAAGCAGTTCCATTTGCAATTGCATCAAAAAGTATAAAATATCTAGGAATAATTTTAAATGAGGAAGTGAAACGTCTGTACACTGACAACTGTAAGACATTGATAATAAATGGAACAGGACATAAATGGAAAGATCACTTTAAAGTATATGCTCTTTTTCTCTATGGGGGTGGTGGGGTCATACCTGGAGGTGCTCAGGGCTTAATTCTGACTCTGTGCTCACAGATCACTCCAGGTGAGGCTTGGGGGACCATATGTAGCAGGACTGAAGCAGGGTTGGCTACATGCTGGGCAAGAACCTTGCACTCTGGACTATCTCTGTGACTGGAAATATATAGGAAATTTATAGTCTTGTTTTTCAGTTTGGGGGCCATACCCAGCAGTGCTTAGGGTTTACTCCTCGCTCTGTGGGTCACTTCTGGAGGACTGAGGGGACCATACATGGTGCCAAAGATAAGTCTGTGGCTGGCTGCATGCCAGGCAAGTGCTTTACCTCCTATACTCTAAAAAGGAAGCACTCTTTTAAAAAAATCATATATGTCAGTTTACACACACACACACACACACACACACACACACACACACACACACACAATCGTTTGGAAACATAAGCAATTTCCTAACTGATCCTCGGACCAGAAAAAAATCCAATTTAAAATAAGCTTTGGTTTATCACTAATTAGGGAGTTTCTGTAACTCAGTCAATAGTTTTTGCTGAACTGCTGGAGGCATTTGTCAGAGCATAAACTGACCATGCAGTGACTTATCTATGGCCATTAACTCCTGCTGGTTTGGCCACAAGTCTTGTTATTAGAATCCCTCAGGGAGCTGAGTCGGCTGGAGTTTGACCGAAGGAACAGATTTGTCTACTTGCCTCAGTTATACTACCGTGATCATCAAAAATCTAGACAATCTGTCAAGCCTCTGCATAATTTGGAAGTTGGTAACAATGCTCTCACAATTCCTCATATCTTCTCTTTTATGACCTTTGCCTTTATAACACATTAGTAACAATTTTACACCCCCCCCCCGCTATTTAGCTTCAGACCACCTCCTTCTTTAACCCTTTCCTCCCCATCTTTAAAGGAGCTGATAGATTTACTCATAAAGGAGTGTAAATCAAGATGAACATGAAAGTTTTCATCTTTCCCTGGGACATTTCTATCTCAAATGACATGGCTTAAACCAAAAGAGACATTTTCAAATGGTAAAACTGTAAACATTAATGAGCACATGCGCGGTTACTAAATTATCGTTAAGATTTCCCTTCACCACTTATCTACCTGATGCTAAAACCCTGACACCGCATCTGGGGCGCTAATATGTTCTGCCAGTAGGGGGCACTCTAGATAATAAAAATTAAAAAACAAGGTGATGGCATTTGCTCTTCATGTCTGTTGTTCCTGTCAATACCACCACAATGATCCTTCAACCTCACAATGACAGTTGGTTGCAGATGCCTGCTTAGAAAAAAAATCAACAAAAATCTCCACTAATTAGACTCACTGCATTACCCCAAGCTCCGGGCAACCAGCTGAAAAACCTCTTCCGGGCTCTGAGGTTTGGCTTCTAGAGTTCCCAGTTTCATTAGCTGCTAGATTCCTTCTGTTCCCCTGTGCTAGGGGGCAGTCACTGCTTCCCTTCCTGCAGGGCTCGCTGCAGTGGCTTCAGCACTATCTTTGTGACATTTTGTTCTCTAATCTTTCTGTCAACCTCTCTTATAAAACAGCTGCAGGCAGAGGTAATGTAAGGACAGGGTGGAGGGTCACACTTTAGTGGTGGTGGTGATAGGGTGCAGTAACTTTGCATATCAGTATCATAAATATAACACCACCATAGCCATATTGCCTAAACTACAATAAAGAGTTAACAAAACAAAAACAAAATAAAATAACTGGCAGGCTCCAGTTTTCTTGAAGGGATTCTGTGTGGCACAGGGAGCTTAGGAGACATTTTCTGGGCAAGAGGCTTTCTCTCTCTCAGAAACGATAAGCTCCCATCTACCGAGCTCCTGGAATCCCAACAGGACTAGCACTCCACTATAAAGATTGTTTCTGAATTTTTAAATATTCCTATGTCAACAATGATTTCTGCCCCTTTTTGTTAACTAACACAGAAACCTCCTTTCCTAAAAAACTACGTTCGGTGCTTCAAACAAAAGCATGCAAAATTGGACCTGGAACAATAGCACAGTGGGTAGGGTGTTTGCCTTGCATATGGCTGACCTGGGTTTGATTCTCAGCATCCCATATGGTCCCCTGAACACCGCCAGGAGTAATTCCTGAATGCAAAGCTAGGAGTAACCCCTGTGCATCGCCGGGTGTGACCCAAAAGACAAAAAAAAAACCCCAAAAAACAAAAAACAAAACAAAAAAAACCCATGCAAAATATCCTCTGAACCTTAGCAGAGTTCACAGATTAATTTGTTATATAAATGTGATAATGTGCACACAGAAATGTCGCTGTAGGGTCCTGGGCTAATGGCATCATTATCCCCAATTTTATATAGGCCTTTGTAGGGTAATGCATCCATTCCCATTTTCATGATCTGTCAGTCACCCCTGGGAAGGAGAAGTACAAAACTCCCACTTCCAAGCTTTGACATAAGGCTTGTCTTAGATGAGGAAAAAAAGTGACACCTGGCACATCTGAGTAGGAACTTGAGGAGCCAATACACAGTTCTAGGGTTCTTTCTTTTTTCTCTGCCATGAGAATGCACGTCTTAGGGACATGATGCTTCTTCAGTCAAAATCCTGTAATGTAGAAGACGTGGCAGGCTGCTACCCCATAATTATGTTCCATGAACAAGAAGTAAAGCGGGCACAATGGGAGAGAATTGAGGATTCTTTGTTACTGAAGCTGAACCTGGCATAATCTGGCTGTCACTCTGTGGAATCTCACAGGAGAAAACCAGTAAGTTGTAGTTAAACTTACTCTCTGCTAAAGAGGGTGTTTTCTCTGCAAGTGAAGAAGCAAGGTCAGTCCCCAATATAAGAGAAATGCTGACAGAGGTGAGAATTTGGGGAGGGGGGCAGCAGAAGAGCTGAAGAGGAGGGGGAAGAAAGGCTGGTAGGCTGGGGGTGGAAAATGAATGGTTTTATGAGTAAAAGAGATTGTGCTATGCAAGAAGCAAAGGTAATAATAAGCATTTGCTTAGAACCTTGGCTTTTCTTTGTATTTTCCCAGCAACTTGAGAAAAGAGAATTCCCTTCTAATTACTTGTGGTTGCCATGCTGTGCTTTGTACACAGAGACGGGAACAAATAATTGCACCACAATATACAACCTGCATCATAATGAGGCATTTATGAGGGTTAGCTAACGGGGGCCAAAAGTCTAAACAGCGTCTGTGTCACCCAGAAAGTTTCCTAGAGAAGATGATGTCTGAACGAGCTCCAGAGGGAAGAGAAAGCTTCGCCTGGCATGAGAGGAAAGAGACGTCAGGTCCAGAAGAAGGAAGCCGATTCCTGGATATTTTGGCAAACTCCACCACCAGGTGGGAAGAGCATCCAGACCAGGAGACTGGAAAAGCAATTTCAGGTGCCATGCTGAGCCTGAACTTGAACCTCAGCCATGATCCCCACCACCACCTCCCAGGGAGTCTGGCACCATTAAGCAAGGAAGCAAAAGCATCCGCAAGAGCCGGTGCTTGCTGGCTGCTGCCAGTGTGTGGTACAAGGGTGAGGTGTGAGGAAAGCAGCTTATTCTCTGTGTGCCAATGTGTGGGCTATGAAGACCTGTAGGACGGGTGTCCTACTTGGAGCAAGAGGCTGTATGAACTGGTGTCAACAGCCTTGGAAGGGAACCGTTGCAGGAGAGTGGAGAAGGACAGACAAAGGAGGTGGGGGAGCGAACTGCAGACCCCTCAGCCAAGACAGGGGCAGCGGACTCAGAGAGGAGGAGGCCCTAAAGGACCAGCAGGTGATGGTGAGAGAACAGGATGATGGCAGAGTCAAGGGGGGGAGGGGTGTCCACAAACAGAGGCCCAACACTAAGGAGGAGTGAGAGACACAAAACTGATGGTGTGGGTGTAGTACAGGGAGTGGCAAGTGACAAGCATCAAGGTCCTGTCAGGAAATAGGGCTGGCATGTAGCTTCCTTGCAGAGCACTGACTGGGTTTGATCTTCAGCACCACAAAAACAACACCACCAAGAAGAAACCTGGGGGGTGGAGGGTTGGGCCACACCTGGCTATACTCAGGGTTTACTCTAAAATTAAGTCCTAAATTGAACGAAAATTTATGTACATAAATAAATATTCCTATGAGCATAGCATCAAATGTATTTCTATACGATGGCACAATTTGGCTCAACTACATTCAAAGCGTTTGTGGAATGAATTTTTTTTTTACTAGACACAAAACTTTTATTTACAAAATATTTATAAGGAATGCTATACACCAGGCCCTGCGAGCACAAGCTCACGGGGTAGGGCCCAGGGGCTGGCTCAGGTCTTAACGTCCAGCAGTAGTATCCGCTTGTGCTGGTAGCTGCTCTGCCAGCCGTGGACCACTTCAGGGTCCCCTACATCGGAGAGGAGCTCCTGCTCGGCCTTGTGCAGCTCCTTAGCTGGGTCGTAGCTGTACATGGTGGGTAGGTGGTGGCACAGACGGTCCACCTGCTTTTTCTTCTTCATGTACATTACCACAGCCACCACCACTCCGATCAGGGTGATGAGGAAGAAGGGCCCCAACACGTAACCCACCATGGAGTCGCTGCTGGCCTGGGGGGCTCTGGGTACCATGGTGGTGTTGCTCATGGCACCCCGGAAGTGGGGTACGCGCGTGATCCGTGGAAAGAATCTTGATAGAAGAAAAGCAAAACAAATGGGTAGGTTTAAGGATAGATAAATGGTAATAAATATTTCCAAGGTATTTAGCCTGTTTTGGGAACACAAATTCTAAAGAAAACACAGCTCATTCCTTGAGCTGCAAACACCCAAGAGTGAGCTGTTCTGATGTGATGAGGTGACCTTCTTGTCCCTCAGATGAAAGTCATGATGTCCAACTCAACACTCACCGCGCCCCCTTTAGAAGCACAGATCCCAGGCACTGTGGCTTATTTCATTTTTCTCTCAGCTTAAAACTTTCTAGCACAGAAGCTATGTTTCCCTGACTCCAGAGATCAATACAAGCAGCCTGCATATTGAGGACCCTAATGCCAGATAAGAGGCAGCAATAAAACAAGTGCTGTGAGACTGCTCTAAATTGGGGGTGGGGTGGGGGCGGGGGGAGAGGGGAGAAGAAATTTCAAAAAACATTAATCCTCTCCAAATCAATCTCAGTATCTCAATGTCTAAGTCAGTCTCTGAAGATTTCAGATCAATGGAAACAAGAGCAAATGTGCAACTCCGAAAAGAAAATTCAGTTAAAGTCACATTCTGAAATATTCAGTACCTTCTGACACCTAGGCTGAGAGCGCTTGCGACAGCGGAGGGAGAAAAGTGGATGATAAGGACATAGGGACTCACTTGGTGCTCAGGGCTTACTCCTGCCTTTGAACTCAGGAATCACTCCTGGTGGTGTTTGGGGGCCTATCTGGGGTGCCGGGCATCAAACCTGGGTGGGCTATGTGCAAGGCAAGTGCTTACTTGTTGTACCATTGCTCCAGTCCCCAAACGAGCCTATATATATATATATATATATATATACATATATATATATATATATATATATATATGGAGTCACGTCGGGGTCAACAGTGGTGTTATTTTTCAGCTGGAGCGATAGCACAGCGGGTAGGGCGTTCGCCTTACAAGCGGCAAACATGGCCGACCCGAGTTCGATTCCTCTGCCCCTCTCGGAGAGCCCGGCAAGCTACCGAGAGTATTCGATATGCCAAACACAGTAACAACAAAGTCTCCAATGGAGACGTTACTGGGCCCGCTCGAGCAAATCGACAATCAACGGGAGGGCCTTTATATATATATATATATATATATATATATATATATATTCTTTTTGGGTCACACCCCGTGAAGCACAGGGTTTACTCCTGTTTCTGCACTTAGGAATGACTCCTGGTGGTGCTCAGCGGACCATATGGGATGCTGGGAATCGAACCCGGGTTGGTCACGTGCAAGGCAAACGCCCTACCCGCTGTGCTATTGCTCCAGCCCCTCTTTTTATATTTTTATTTCACCCATGAATGTGACACATAGTATGCTACAGGGAAACGCTTCAAGGAAACAGGTCCGTGTTGAGTCAAAGTGGTATCTTCACAGTAACTTTGAAAACTTAGAAATTAGAAAAATTCCATGAATAGACCTAATCTCTCTCTTGGATGAGGACAATTGCTTCTGACAGTCCATTCTTTACAGAGCAGTCAGGATAAACTCAAAAGTTAAATTAGACTACATCGTTTATCTGTGAAATCCACACGGGCCCGCAACACTGTACATTATGGGGCTCCCTCTCACCTAATCTCATCACTCTTTTCCTTGTTATTGTTGCTCCAGCCACGAGGGACTCCCTACCCCATTACCCATGTCATCCCCTCCCTCCCAAACAGGCCAGCAGGCTCACAAATCAGAGCTTCTATTCTGGCTGTTCCTCTTCCTGGAGGATCCTTACTTTTTTGAGTTTTTTGTTCTTTAGTCCCACTGTATGAACCCTAACCAGGACAATGGAAACACTGGCTTATTCAAATGTGACCTGGGAGATAGCTCAGATGCGCAGGCTTTGCTTGTGGGATGCCCAGGTTCGATCCCTGGCACCTTATGCTTCCCTGACCACCACTAAGAACAACCACTGGGAATGAGCCAGAACTATTCATTGAATGTCACGAGGTATGGTGCCTGCCCCTCTAGAATGGGAAAAGTATCCTGATTACTACACCGAACCCCACAAGGAACACAAGGGTCCTTTCAAAGCAAAGACTTTGCTCCAGCCTGCAGACAGGAGAGATGAGGCAGAAGAGAGGTTGGGGGTAAGTCAGAGTGTGTGATGGACTCAACCCACTATTGCTGTCTTTGAAGATGAGAGGGCTCAAGCGATAGCACAGCAGTAGGGTGTTTGCCTTGCATGCAGCCGACCCGACCAACCCGAGTTCGATTCTTCTGCCCCTCTCGGAGAGCCCAGTAAGCTACTGAGAGTATCTGGCCTGCACGGCAGAGCCTGGCAAGCTACCCGTGACATATTTGATATGCCAAACACAGTAACAACAAGTCTCACATTGGAGACGTTATTTGGAGACGTTACTGGGCCCACTCGAGCAAATTGATGAACAATGGGAGGACCATGACCGTGCTAAGGTAAGGTAAGGTAAAGGCCCTCCCGTTGATTGTCGATTTGCTCGAGCGGGCCCAGTAATGTCTCCATTGGAGACTTTGTTGTTACTGTGTCTATTCTCACTTATTCCTCTTTTTCCGCCTCTTTGCCCAAGAAATGCATTATTTCTAATGTGTTTTATTGTTATCCTTTTTTTTTGTTTCTTTGTTTTGGTTTGTTTGGAGGTTACACCGGCTGGGCTCAGGGTTTACTCCTGGTTCTGTACTCGAGGATCACTCATGCTGGGGCTTGGAGGACCATATGGGGTGCCATGAATTAAACCTGGGTTGGATGCATGTAGGCAAGCGCCCAGTCTGCTGTACTATGGCTCTGACTGCGGTTGCTCTTTTTAAATGTTTACCCTAGTCCTATGAACACTGAGTCTGAGTGACCTTGTTGCAGAGAAGGGTTAGCAGCATTCTTGCCTCCACACTTCTAGAAGCCATTAGCACCTTCCCCTGGAAGTGATAACCAGAGATGTCTTCACACATTGCCATAGTGACCACTGGTTTCTCATTGATGTCAGTTAGAGCAAAACCCTGAATACCAAGAAGGGATGATCTTGGCCTATTTTTTCACTGCTGATTCCCAAGCATCTAGGAGTCACTGGCCTGATGCTTCCCACCTTTTGCAACATGGATTGAACTGGAAATTGGCTGAGTGAAGTTGGTCACAGGGAAAGGGCCAGCTACAGGATGTTCTCTTTCATATGTGGGGCTTAAAGACACACAGTAAGGCAGCAACACAGGGCAAAGGGCACAGAAAAGGAGAACTGATCCAAACAACTGAGTTTTCAAAGGGTGCGAGGGCAGTTCAATGGGAGGGGCTGTCAAAATCTTGGGAGAAGAAGTGGGTATTCTGGTGGTGAGTTTGGTGTTGGAATTATGGACACATGAAACCATCATTTACAATACCGTTAACGTTAACAGTACTTCAATCAATAAAGATAAAAATTTAAAATTAAACACAGCAGAGAGCAAATAGAAATTTTATGTTCTTCCATTTGGACATAGGAACATTTAACTGTACCAAATTTTGTTTGTTTTGACTATTTTTTGGTTCACACTCAGTGTGCCCTGGGAATCACTCTTGATAGTGCTCTGAGGACCACAGGCAGTGACAGGAATTGAACCTGGGTTGGCCAAGCTCAAGGCCAGCACCTTAGTCTCTGTACTACCTCGCTAGCTCCTTGTCTCATATTTTGCTGGTTTTCAAAAAAAGGAAAGGAAATAAAGGCAGAAATGTACAGGAAGACCCCATAAATGCGACATTTCTCTGGGTGTCACACAAACATCTCTTAAAAGCAATTCAGTACTGAAATCATTTTTGAAAGGAAATACTGTGTATAATATAAAAAGTGACATGGCCCTTTTCAGTATTTTCTTTTCTATGTCCACCAGCAGAAAACCTTTCTCGGGGGGTATTGACCTGAGAAACAATTGCCCTGGAGTATTCCTCCTGATGCTATTTTAAGAATGAAGGGTTGAACATCTCCAGCGGGCTAATATTCACACGCAAAGAGGTGAAAATGGAGAAATCAATTCCTGAATGAACTTGTCTGTCAATCATCATATTTGACTGAGTTTCTCTCAGAGTGTGGGGTCGTGGGGAAGGGTCCAGGGTGCTCACAGAACCAAAGCAGCAATGGTTGTGAAGTAGGGTGGGGGGTGCTCTCCAGGCTAAAGGTGGCTATGTCTTAGAGTCATGGTTTCCCCCAAAGGCCAAAGAGAACTGCTATGGGCCTCTTGTGGCTAGGGAATGCGATAAACCACCCCACAGCACACAGCTCCTGAAAGAAACCAAGTGTCTTGGCAGAATCATGTGACAGGAAGCATGTGACCTTGGAGTCTCCTGGGCAGACTCAGAATTCTGCCCCATCCTCAGGCTGAGCTCTTGTTGACCAAACCCATCACCTGGCCCAAAACTGTTAGACGGGCAATTCTGGAAATTCTTTTTTTTTTTTTTGCTGGTAATCCATATTCTGTTCATAATCTCTCTTTAATAAGGCCACATAATAAATAGGTTACGTTTCATCCTTTTACTGATACAACAATCTACGTTTCCATCTGAAAATCTCATAAAAGCATGAAATAGCAGGATAAAATAAGAAGTTTGGTATTTAAAAATCTTAATATGCAGTCAGATATTTCCATTGAGAAATAGTCAGAGTTGTCTATAATCAAGAAGTACTTTTTTGAGAAGGATGAGAATCTATGTCCACAATCAACTCTTGAGGCAGGGATTCACAGGCCTGAACTGTGGCCCAGAAAATGTAACAGATGTAATGGACAGCCCAGCCCCGAGAACTCCCGCCAATCACTCATCTCACTTTCCCTCCTCTGTAGACCAGACACAAAAAACAGAGGAGATGGCAGAGCAAGGGCACAGAATGCAGCAAGACCTGGAGCCTCCCTCCACCTGAGACAAGGGGGCAAACCAGGTATTTTACTGTGTTCAATCTCTGGTATGTGGGGGTTCTTCAGCAAGAGGA